GTGTGTGTGTGTGTGTGTGTGTGTGTGTGTGTGTGTGTGTGTGTTGGTGGTGTGTGGGGAGAGGGATTTGAAGGTGGGTGCAGGTTTTAGACAGGATAACTCCTACCACCGCTCATTACTCAAAAGTGATTGACTCCTTGCTTCGGGGGCAAAGGAAGCCTGCCAGAACAGCCATGTGTCTGGATGCTTGTCACTTAGCACAGAGCCATTTTCATGGTCTTCCACGAACACAGTATAAACACGGTGTGTTTGGTTCCTGTGAGACTGATGAGTTTCTTAAGAAATCCCTAGCCTATTAAAGATAGTGGATTTCTAAACCAAATAACTGGGATCATGGAATTTTGAGTTACCCAGAGTTCATTCTATCCTCACTTAAAAAAACAAATGCTAAGTGTTGGTGTTTCTAAAACCTTTTCATATTTAAAATGCTCTCACCTTCCCAAGTCATGTTTTCTTTCTCTGTGTGTGATGGAAGCAGTGAACAGACACTGCTGCTATAAAACTGACAGTGGTGTACAGTAATGTCTAACTTTGCATTAACTGCTGCTAATCTGCATTACCTCTACTTGAACGTCTGTTTTGACTACTGTTAATAACATCAGGTGATGTCTGTATAAGAGGTTTTTTTTAATACGGCTCTCTAGAAATGGGCATTGGAACGACTGATTAAACAGTTTTTTAATGTGTTTGTGTGCACCCGGACTCATGGCGCCTTCCTGCTGTCAATCAGCTGATCAAGGAAAGCTGCTCCTGTTGGTGGGCTGGCTATTTCCCGTCACTGGCATTTTGGAGAGGGGAAAGGCATGCTTAAAGTCATCGGCAGATGAGTACTTTTAATTAAGACTCCTGGGCTCCTTTGGAGCTTCGGGCGGGTAGGTGGGTGGGGAGGAGTATTTAAAATCAACTGTGAAAGTAAAATTATTTCAAGCACTCCCCATCCCACTTCAAGGAAAGGCACAGTAGACAATTTGTGTATCTTATCCTCCGAGACTATTTTATATGCAAGCAGACAGAGATGTGTGGTTGTATATGTGAAATATATCTGTGTGCTCCCTCCCTAAACATTTCTACTTAAAAATATATTTTTGAGACCATTGGTGGAGCAGTGGCTACATGCTTGACTGCTGACGGGCCAGCAGTTTGAAATCCACCAACTGCTCCACGGAGGACAGTGTGGTCGGGGGATATGGCCGTCCACTGCCAGGAAAGATTCTAAAAGTTCACAGCTATGGAAACCCTCCGGGACAATTCTAACCCTGTCCTGTCCTGCTTCACAATGACTCCGCATGGACCTGATGGCAACTGGTTTTCCCATATAATTAAGTACTCATTCTTTTTTTCATGGAAACAGGGCACGCCAGTGCCTCCATCTCATTGTATCTCTATAACCAGTCAGCTCCACCCAATAGCCTGGGTTTCCAATGCCTTTTCCCCTGTTGAGAACACCAGGTGCCATGACCTGACCAGCTCTTGTAAATGGTTCTCTTTTTGACCCGAAAACCTTTGTTCTTTATCTGGACAGCTTGGCCAGTTGTCTGGGTCACACAATGTTCTCGTCCCAGTCCAGGGAAAATCCAGATAGGTGATGTCTTTCGTTTGCTTTAACCCTTGAGTTGGCAAATGTGCTTGTAGCTCCCCAGTTGCATAAGTATTGGAGGAAAGGAACGAATTCTGCCAAGAGGTTGGAAGGTCTGATCTCAGAAGACAAAGAACGTCTTGATGTTTCTTATTGACTCCAGTCCAGTCACCACCAAGTCAGTTCTATCACGTGTAGATGCCATGTGTGTCAGAGTAGCACTGTGCTCCCTGGGGTTTTCAGTGGCTGATTTTTTAGTAGATTCCCAGACCATCCTTCGAAGGGCCTCTGACTGGACTCCAATCTCAAACTTCTGGTTACCATGTAACCTTTTGCACCACAGTGTACACATGTTTTACAGGTAAACCTTGGGCTACTATCTGAAGGGTCAGTGGTTCAAACCCAGCAGCTGTTCCAGAGGACAAAATGAGGCTGTCTGCTCCCATAGATTTACTAAACCTTAAAAACTCTGTATAGGGTCACTATGAATCAGAATCTACTCAATGGCAATGGATTCTATCACTTAACTTGTATCATTGAACCTTTCCATGTTTTTTTTTAATCGTTTTATTAGGGACTCATACAACTCTTATCACAATCCATACATGCATCCATTGTGTAAAGCATATTTGTACATTCATTGCCCTCGTCATTCTCAAAACATTTGCTCTCTACCTAAGCCCCTGACATCAGCTTTCCCCTCCCTCCTCGCTCCCCCCTCCCCCATGAACCCTTGGGTTGTTTTTTATTTTATTTTATGGAAAAGCTTGCCTTTATATTTTTCATTAGTATTTTAAATATATACTGTTGGGAAGATTGAGGGTGCTATTGTGATTATGATGATCAAATGTTAAAAGAAACAACAAAAAAACCAAATGATCTATTGCATTGGGCCAATCTGTTGCATAAGAACTCTTCGAGGTGTTAAAAGGCAAAGAGGTCACACTGAGGACCAAGGGGCGCCTGCCCCTACCATGGTCCTGATACCAAACTGCAGGCGCACACCTGGGAGCAACCGTGTTAACGAGAGGGACAACGTGAAATTAAAGCTTCCAGAAGGTAGCACCAGGCTGACAGCAAAACAGTCTGTCTTGATGGGGTCCTGTTTAAAATCAGAACACCTCTTTTCATTTGGAATTTACACTTTGAGGAGTGTTTGACATGAACTCAGGTTTCAGGGCAACCAGGAGAAACAAATGTTGACCATGAACAAGCAAATAGAACAGGTGCTTTTGTCTTCGTCTCAGGACGTCTCTGACACCTCATCAGGTAACAGGGATTAACGCTTTGGACACTAACAGACATGTAAGAGTCTTGGAGTTATCTGGCCCCTCCAGATGACACGTGCATCAAATCTCTTTGCCTCTGAGCAAGCCCGCCATAAACCTTCCATAGAGGCTGCATTAAGTAACTTGGGCTACAAAGTTTTCAATAGCTTCAGACACATGGACAGGCTTGGCAAAATAAGTAATGAACCGATATTTTTTAATTACGGTGTTATCAAAGACTACCAGCACACAAAATGTCTTGGAAGAAGTGCAGCCAGAATGCTCCATAGAATTCAGAAAAGCGAGTCCAGAGCTCCTGCTGCCAGACCAGAAAATTGGGAGGGTATTGTTTGTGTCTTCACAGGGAAAGAGGGACCAGATTTAAAGCCAGTGCCAGACGAATGCAGCTTGTTGGCAAGGAGTGGGGAGCCAGTGGAGGGGCCTGAGGGCTCGGCCCCCATGTCAGCTACAGGGACAACTGCCCCTTCCCCCAGAAGAATTTACTTGAGAGGAATGCACTGAAGCTGCAGCTAGGGGAGAGGGACATGTCTGGTCAGAGCAAATGGGAGCACTTAGGGGGAGGAAGAGAGTGGAGCGCATCCCGACCCACCAGGCCTAGAGGACAACACCCCATTCTGAACAGCAGAGCAGACAACATGGCTGATCCCACCATGAGACATGCCGTCCCTTGATGGCCCCGGGCTCTGAGGAGGACAACACTGGAGACTCAGTCTCAGGACTGGTCCAGACTGACCCTGAGACACCGAGGCAAACCACTAAAAGCGTGCAGCAGAGCAACCGTGGGAGCAGAGCAGAGAGCC